AATAGTATAGATACCTGGGATAACGTTCGCAGTATTTTGAGCGCTTTCTGGGATGAGTGTGATTACTCTATCCTGATTAGCAATTCCTACCATTGGTACGAATCTAGTTGAGGTAGAAGATTTATTCACGTTTCGTTCAGTTCGGGGACAGTTCCTTACCATATGGTCCATTTTGCCACACCTATAATAAGCCCTAGAAATTCGATAGCAAACTCCTCGGTGTTTCTTACACTGGTGATGGCAAAGGTTCTTGTCGTAGTGGCAACTGACGTTGTTGTCTTAAAATCTCTGCCATTTCTTGTACTATTCTTCGCAGTCTATCAAGTCAGGCTGTGGAAGAGTCTGCCAACTTGTATGCCCTTACTTTATCCATGTTCTACACAAATTTTTATTAAGCCTTGCAAAATACCGGAATGCCCAATACAAAAATAAACACAGATACACATGCGTACATTCGCACATAGGCACATTGTTATATTCCCATTTTATGTATCGTCAAGGCACAATTAATTACATACGTAACAGATGATTGCATACTTATCAGATATCGCATGCTAAACATTTACTAAGTAGTTATATACTCAAATCATGTTCATATTTTATATAGACACCCATTTGCAGAATCGAATGCACATAAGCAACTTTTCATGACTCATATGTTCATGTATGTGCATTATAACAAAACAAACTTGTTGTACACATTAGTGTAACAATTCATATCTCATATAATCACATGTTCTCACCATCTGGTTAAACTTGCGTTATACTTTATACAAAAGATTCACAAGTATGCATATACAAAAGAGCATACGTATTCAAATATTTTGCAATGCAAGCAATTCACAAACTTATGGCACATGATTGTTCATATCAAAACAGTTAGGCATATTCTCGATACTTCCAAATTCATACTTATCACATGAATGCATCCTAGATCTTTGCTAGACGCTTATTGCTCTTTTGGACAAATGTGTGAGTTATTAATTCGTGCTCTGATACCACTCTGTCATGACCCGAACCCGCCCCTATGGGTTAAGGCCATAACCAGCCAGTAATCGCGAGATTACCTACGACCGCAAACCAAATAAGACAAAACTCATCAGAGTAAAGCGGCCAAACGGAAGCAAATTTAAAACTTTGTTCATAGAGCCGTGCTTATATGCACATCATAACATTCCACATTTACATATGTTAATAACTTACAACAGAAAGTATAGTAGCATAAGGTTCTGTACAGACAAGATCATTCAAATCTAAGTTAGCCAAACAAAACAATACACAGACGTATACCGAAGTCCTCGCCAACATGATAAAATACATAGAAAGGCAAAAGGGCGAAGACATGTCTCGTGCATGAGACGCCAGGGCTGACTCCTTAAAACTTTGGTTGTTCCACACAGACTTCACTGAGGCTGGGTTTGGACCTCTCTTGGCTCACCTACAAACACATGAATGAGCGTGAGCGAAAGCCTAGTGAATAATATCAAATAAAGAATATACATTGGAACAATATACATCAAACGGCTTTAGGCCCAATTTATATTTCTAACTAATACATACATACATAGACATATGTAAGTTAAGTAACCGCGGTTCCAAACACATCATACGGCCTCGGGCCCAATTCATTAGTATCATTCAGGTCAAACTGGCCTTTGGCCCATTCGTACTTTCGTTCACGTCGAACTGGCCTTTGGCCCATTCATTCATGTCGAACTGGCCTCTGGCCCATTCGTTTATGTCAAACTGGCCTTTGGCCCATTTAAATGACAAACTGGCCTTCGACCCATCCTTTCCTTCATGTCAAACTGGCCTCTGGCCTATTCAAATGACAAACTGTTATTCGTGTCAAACTATCATTCGTGTCAAACTGTTATTCGTGTCAACCTATCATTCGTGTCAAACTGGCTTTTGGCCCATTCATTTATTCATGTCGAAACGGCCTCTGTCCCATTTATTCATTCTTGTCAAAACGGCCTCTGGCCCATCCATTCATTCTTGTCAAAACGGCCTCTGGCCCATTCATTCATGTCAAAACGGCCTCCGGCCCATTCATTTGGTATAGTAAACATTGTCCACCAATCGAATCAACGAATCTTATAAAACTTACATGGACGTAAGCAATTGGACAATAACATATTTCAGATATCTTTGTTAAATATTATTCACAGTGATCGGCTGATTGATTTGCTCTGGAGCTTGACCCTATACATCACATAACACATATGGGTCACAACCGATTCAATTCGTTCTTAATTCACATATTCCTCTTTAGGCTTAATTCTTATTCTTTTAACTCATTCACAATACTCAATGTATGCCTAAGAGTACTTAGAAGTGAAAGGGAACGGAAAACGGAACACGGAATGCATTTTCAAAATTTCAGGAAACAAGGTCCCCGCTCAAGCGAGCGTGGACTTCACCGCTCGAGTGGACCCATGAGGTCTGCAAAAGTACTGGATGCACCGAATTTACGCTCGAGCGTGAAGTCTGGCACTCGAGCTGAAGGTCTGTCTACATAGCTCCCCGCTCGAGTGTGAACTTTCCCGCTCGAGCGGACACCATGTCTGCAAAAGTTCTGGGAGCACGTATTTCCCGTTTGAGCGGCGGTTTCCATGCTCGAGCGGACACCAAAAATTCTGGGTTTTCTAGCAATGTTCTTGAGCCGAAATTTGACATTCAAAGGTTCCAAAACACATGATTTCTGTTCAAAACATGCAAACACTTTACATTACATGAGAGTATAAAAGTATGACACCAAATTGTTCAAAGTCATCATTTAATTCCCAAATAGATCGACATTTCTTTCGTATGATCAAAATCCAAACATTCAAACTTTATACCAATTCCATAACTTCTTCAATCATGCACGCATGTCAAATTTTAACTTCATTTCTGTTACAAATGGTACAAATGATGCCCCAAATCATGAAGCTACACAAAACTACTCATGCATGTAAGGTTTGATGCCCCATTCTTCATATATTAACATGCTACATGCTAGAACACCCAAAATTGTAACAATTATGTACATGCATGTTCATTTTAACTTCAAATTCAACTCAATCTTAGCCATGAGCTACCATACCACTTGATTTCACAAAATTGCATACTCAATCCATAAATCAAGAATTGATTACTCACCTAGGAGCTTCAAACACTCAATGTTCTTTGAGTTTTAACTTCCAATTTCACAATCTTGAATAAAAATGCATAACTCCTCCTCCCCTCTCTCTATAACCGGCCCTTTCTCTCCCTCTGTAGAGAAATCTCAGCCCAAATGGATAAAAGAGAGGAATTGAGTGCATTGTGCCCTTTTATGTAAGTCCCACTAGTCAAAATTATTAATATTAAATAATTGGGCATTTAATTAATTGTTCTAAGTCTAATTATTTTGATCCGAATCAATTTTCAATTAAATTTCACCGTATGCTCTAAAAATTATGCCAATTGCAATAGTGCAATCAATTTCAGGTTCTGTGGCCGATAAGGCCTTCAATTTAAATTCCGAAGCAGATAATCAAACAGATATTCCTACGGTGAACAGATAAAAATTCAAAATCACATATATTCATATAAATGGCACTCAAAATCATATCAAACACATAATCATATGCATAAGGAGGATAAATTGGCATAATACGAAATAGGGGTATCACATAATCTGTGAATAAAAATATTTTTATTAACTATTTTGTAATAGAATTGTATTGGAACAATTGATGGAACACACATCAAAACATATATATCTCTAAATAAGCAACCTCGTTTAAAATGTAGAAAGGGATATACAACTCAAAACATAATGGCCGCATGTGACTTTGATATGTGTTTCACATTTTGCTTACCAGGATCAGAAGGAAGTGCACACGATACTCGGATCTTCTTGGATACAATTAGGAATCCTAATTATAATTTTTCAAAACCACAAGGAGGTAACTGTTTTATATTTAATTGCTACAATAGATGCACCACACTCACATCTCCATATTTATTATTACATTTATAATTTCTTACTTTAATTTTATTTTGAGATTTTAAAATAGATGAGTTTTACTTGATGGATGTTTAGTATCCAAACATGAAATGATATCTTGTACCTTACAAAGGAGAAAGATACCATTTAGCTCAATTTGAACATGGTCAACCCCCTTCCCCCCCCCCAAAAAAAATGGACAAGAACAATTCAACCAAGTACATTCATCACTTAGAAGTGTAATAGAAAGAACGTTTAGGGTTTAGAAAGCAAAATGGCCGATGATAAAGGATATCCCACCAAACTACAAGTGGCTGACCTAAGTCAAACTTATTTGTGTAACAATGACAATTCATAATTTCATCCGACGAAGTGAGTTTCGTGATATTGCATTTGACTCTTATGATAGATTCACGGATCATGTGCCTCATGAAGAGGAAGGATTTTTGTCTCAACAAGTACACCATGGAAATGATGTTGCAGGTGATGACAACGAGATGGAAGTGAGGAGACATAATATTTGTATGTCAATTTGCAGACGAAATTATGAGTTCTTTAAATATCTATGAAGTTTTATTTTTATTGCCTTAATGGTAATTTATTGTATTTTTATTTCAATGACATTTTCTTGTTCCCTTGTGAACTCAATATTTAAAAAAATAAAAAAAATAAAAATTGAGGTAATGGAAAAATGTACTAAATTAGGTACTAATTATATCAACTTCTATTAATAAAATAACTTTTTCAAAATTTAAAGTGAAGAAAATGACAAAATTACAACTTTTATGTTCATAAAGGCAAAAATGTCAATTACAAAGCAAAAAGTTATTTCACAGCTTATTTACCAAACAATATTCTGCTGTTTAAATTTATAATTCCACAGCTGCACCAAACAGGTTATTAACTTATGTTCACAGCTGTAAGTTATAATCTGTTAAGTTATAATTTATAATTATTTTCTCACAGCTCTACCAAACGGGACTTTTGTATAACGGGGCTGTTGTCTAAGTTCAGAGACTTTTACCTCGTCAGCATGGCCTGCTCCAAAGAGTAGCATAACCTTCTTCTGGAATGAGTTACCATGAACCTATGGCACATAAAAAGCATGCCAAGTTAAGCATATATATTACTAATTCTGGAAGTGTCATCCAAAGAATACAATGTAATGATTAATAAATCCATTATTTATTTATTTACAAGTAATAATCATTCAATCTTCAAGACATGAAAATAAGTTTACATAAGTTATAATATAATAATAATGCCCAAAACTGTATACCAAGTGGTTACAAAACAAGTCATTAGTAAAATCCAAAATATCTTTTATCAAAAAATACAAAGATCGAAAATATATTTGTTCATGAGCAGTAACAGAAAATGACTTTTTCGCTATGGGTTTCAGAACTTCACATATTTGTTTCTGTTGTAGTTTTGTGGTGGTTTGGCCTTAACTTCAGAATCTTCTTTAGAATCCTCTACTTCTGAAAGTGCATTTTCACTCTTTATTCCAGCTGCAAGAAGCACTTAAAATTGTTGTCAAATCCCGAATCAAAATGTTAATTGTCATATTCACTTTATTTACCATAATATATAATAATTTTGTATTATGTAAATATATACATATAAAAATACCCACACAAGATTTAAAATGAAATAAATTTCAATATAACTAAATTGTTGATGTGTATATATACATTTAAAAATGCATCTCTCTCTCTCTCTCTCTGTGCAAAAGCAATGCCGTTTCATACATTATGCAAATAGAACTAAATTGAAGTGAATTGCAATGAATCACAATTGAATTGTATGATTCACACAACTAAGATTTTTTTTTTTTTTTTGGGTGGGTAAGTCATACACAATTAAGATTTAACAACATGAATCAAATCGTTTTGGTTCAAACTCATATCAAATTGTGTGAATTGAATCGTGAGTTGTAAGATTGTAATAATCATACTTAAAATATTTCAAAATAATCCAGATTTCCAGAAATCACAAGACCAAATATAATTTCTGGAGTAGAGCAAACGAAAGCAAATTGTTGTTCTCGTGTCCCATTTGGATATTAAAATGCCTCCTTAACAGAATACGAATTCCTCCAGGTTTGAAATGCATAAAAAGTGAAGTAGAATTCATAACACAATCAAGATGATTTGCTTCTAATGACCAGAATGTAATTTCCATGCTTCAATTGTGTTCATTCCAAAAAATTGGAACACGAACAAATCATTAACAGAGGGATTTAGACATTTTCCACCTCTCACATTTACATCACCCTTTAATTTCAACTCTTATTTTTCTTCTATATCACCACTATTTTCTAAAATAATAAAACAAGTGATAAATGCACAATATGTGACTCTCTCAAGGCAAGATCTTATTATACATAGGATCTCATTAAAACCACTATTTCTATATTTCAGTCAATGAAGAACAACCATCGCCAAAAAATGAAGGATGACAGTAGATGCTGCAATTAACTTGAATTAAAATAGACTGCAACAACCTAAAAAATATCAGAAGATTCTAAAACAATTGAACAGAATAGAGTTCCTCAAATAGATAACAAAATATAAAGCATAAAGAAAGATCATTATGGTATGAATACCTAGAGGGTTGGCTTCTGCTGATCAAGCTGGAGATGATTCCGGTGACCGCTTCTTTTCAGCAGTGAGAACTTGTGATAAAGCAGCTACTGCAGCTGCCCTCTGTGATCCTTGACCCATGACTGACGGCCTTGAAGCACTACCACTTTTGGTACCAGAAGACAACTTAAACGCAGAAGTCAAGGCAGCTAAGGCTTCGGCTCTTTGAGTTGGTCCACGCTGATTTGAGAAATTGGGCTTATCCTGGCTCAGCAATAGCATTAAAAATCATGCAGTGACCTCATTAGCAAAGAAGCTGATTTTCTGCTTGCACACAGTCGTGAGTGAGAAGATAAAGAGAAACACAGAAGTTCTTGCAATTTGCAACTCAAATTCAACAATGCCATTTTATGATTGTTAGAAACAAAAAGGAAAAAGAAAAAAAAGCATGACCAGAATCCACTCTACCAGTGGAGTACTGCCAACCAACCCATCTATACAACAACAAATGATAGATTGAAAGGAAAGGGATAAGAGAAAAATATTATGAGCACTCCTGTCCAGAGTTGAGCTCTGGAATTTGACTGCGTTTTTCCATTCAGGTCCGGACTGCTCAAGAATTCTTATGGGGGTTGTCCTGCCCCTATTGGGATGAAACCTTCCCTACCCTTGAGGCACAAGCTCCCTCTTGCTACAAGTTCCCTCTTGCTACCAATATGTGAGGATCCATCTTAGCCTTCCTTGGCCAGTATTGCTCCCACAATTGTAGCTTTCTTGATCATGCACTTAATCATAGTTTGCAAATGGAAAAGCAAAGGATAGCAGCCAGCGGGTCTATTGGGATCGGGATCCAATGGTGGAGAAGATTGGTAAAAAATTAAAGGGATAGAGGAGGGTTTATATCTACGGAATTTGTCTAGTGTATATATCACTTATCCATTTTTCAGATTGCCAAATAGATTGAGAAACTGATGTGGGCAGGAAACATGGCATAAATGCAGTTCCCAGGACTCCTTAAGGTGTACTAACCGGAACATACTGACAGGTTCTATCATATGCAACATATCAGAGAGAGAATAATAGAAGCCCAATAACACAAGAGATAAACTAAGATCTACAAACTGAGTAGGTTCAACGCAAAATGACGAAAACCCTCATGCAACACATTTGTCAAGCTTAATGTCAAAGCATTTTGTCCAAGTTCAGACTTTTACCTCTGCAGCGTGGCCTGCTCCAAAGAGTAGCATGACCTTCTTTTGGAATGAGTTACGATGAACCTATGCCACATAAAAAGAATGCCAAGTTAGGCATGTATATTAAAACAAAACCAATACAACGCAACTAATATGGGATATTCAGATGAGACAACCCCCTCAATAATACAGCAGTAATGATCTCCACAACAAAAACTAAATTTTACTTGTTCTGGAAGTGTCATCCAAAGAATACAATGTAATAATTAATAAATCCATTATTTATTTATTTATAAGTAATAATCATTCAATCTTCAAGACATGAAAATAAGTTTACATAAGTTATAATATAATAATATTGCCCAAAACTTTATACCACGTGGTTACAATATAAGTCATTAGTAAAATCCAAATTATCTTTTATCAAAAAAAAAACAAAAATCTAAAATATCTTTGTTCATGAGCAGTAACAGAAAACGACTTCTTCGCTATGGCTTTCATAACCTCTTTTATTTGTTTCGGTTGTAGTTTTGTGGTGGCTTCTTGTCTTTGCCCGAAGATATTTTTGTGTTTAATTTGTACACAATTTTTTTTTCCCCCTTTGCCTCAAGTAACCTAAGACCATTCACTTTACCATTTGAGTTTCATCACTTAACAACATAGAAAACATGTTATGAATTCAAAATTAAAATTTATGGTGGGCTCACACTCATTCACATTAGAAACCCCCAAAATTCCTGATTGCAATATTGGCAATCCATACTTAAATTAAAAACGAAAAACAAAAAGTGAGTGATTGCACTAGGCTCTCACTAAAAAGGGGTTTAGGGCCTCATTTTTAGAGAGGTTGTTTCTTGAATAAGCCTAGACTTAAAATGTTTAAGAGTTGGCCTCTTCCCAAGAATTTGGTGCGAAGAGGGAAAAACTAGGAAATATTTTAGAGGAATTAGTTAGTAGCTGCTCATCATTTGAAAATTTTTGGTGGCCCATGTTTGACAATATTGTATGATATAAATGAAAAGCTCCTCATTTATAATTTTAGCTCAACCCTTGTATACATATATACAGAGTGATATTAAGAAACTAAATTCAATTTTCAATATAATTTAGGATTCAAAATATGGAAAGTCAACAAAAATTAGAAGCTTAAGAAACTAAATCCAAGTCCAATATAACTTAGGTTTCTAAATACAAGAACTCAACCAATACTCTTTGACTACTACTATAAAATAAGCTCCACTCCCTCACCATGAATGTGGCGCTGAGGCAATCAGCCTTTTCAAAGAAATGAAGAACTTAGGAATCAAAACCAATGATGTTACGTACGTGGGTTTGCTTGCAGCGTGCAGCCATGCTGGTTTGGTGGATGAGGGATTGAAGTACTGGGTTGGACAAATCGATACAAGTTCGACAAGATCACTCTTCATGCTTGGTTGATCTCTATGGTCGAGCGGGGCGGCTCAAGGAGGCTTTTGATTTTATTCAGCGGCTTCCAATTGAGCCTTCTGGTTCTGTTTAGGGGGCTTTTCTTGTGGGATGCAATGATCACGGTGAGAAAAAATATGGGGAAATTGGCTGCAAAGAGACTTTTGGAATTAGAGCCAGAAAATGCAGGTACTTATATGTTGCTGTCTAACATATATGCTTCAAGTGGGGAATGGAGAGAAGTTGCAAAACTTAGGTTGAAAATGAAGGACAAGGGGTTGACGAAGCAGCCGGGTTGTAGCTGGATTGATGTCAGAAAGAAGGTTCATGTGTTTGTAGTTGGTGATAAATTACATAGAGAAACTAATCTTACTTATTCTTTAATTCATGATCTTCATGTGAAAATGAAGAAGGTTGGGTACGTATCAGATGATGATTTTACCATGGAAGAGGATTTTCAGGTTACATAAATTTTTGATACACGCAATACATTTGATTCAGTGATAAAAGAGCAACTAGTGTGGTAAGTGAATTGATTTTTTCAATAGAACGAAAATGTTCCAACTGATACACTGATGAGTGAGGATGAGCATCGAACTCAGAAGCAATTGATCTTGCTTTTTCAGGCAACAGAAGCTGGTAATGGTGGGATGTCAGTTTTCATTACAAGCAGAGGTGGATGAAGAAGTGGATTGACCGAGACAAAGTGGGTAAGAGTGACTGCCATTTATGTATCTTTTGAGGTCATGACTGAGCTGACCATAAAAGAATGTTATTATGATCAAGTTTGACTGGTAATGGGGCTTGAAATTAGCAGTAAAAGGAGCATAAGGAGAGTAACATTAGAAGAGAATGTCCTAGCTAGGAGCTAGAGTGTGATGAGAAAATGTTAGTAGTCCAGAGGATTATCGTGGCTTGTGTATATGGTGTTCTGGACCAATGAAGCCGTGGATAAGGGGAAGGATGGGACCAACCTTGTCTCTTGTCCAGCAGTTAAAGGTGAGTTAAATTAGCTCCTCATGTGACAATCGCTTTTATTGGTATGATTAGAATTCCAATTATCCTTGATGAATGATAATGATTTGATTCCAATTGTTCAACTGGACTTGCACACACAAACCCAAAAGATTGCTCAACTGGGTCTGGTTTGTCTTGGATTCCCTTAATAATGTCAGGAAATCCTCGTTTTGTTGTTTACCAAGACTACTCTAATAAGGAGGTATATCCCAACACAATGAAGCCGTGCATAAGGGGAAGGATGGGTCCAACCTTGTCTCTTGTCCAGCAGTTAAAGGTGAGTTAAATTAGCTCCTCATGTGACAATCGCTTTTATTGGTATGATTTGAATTCCAATTATCCTTGATGAATGATAATGATTTGATTCCAATTGTTCAACTGGACTTGCACACACAAACCCAAAAGATTGCTCAACTGGGTCTGGTTTGTCTTGGATTCCCTTAATAATGTCAGGAAATCCTCGTTTTGTTGCTTACCAAAACTTGAATTCCAATTATCCTTGATGAATGATAATGATTTGATTCCAATTGTTCAACTGGACTTGCACACACAAACCCAAAAGATTGCTCAACTGGGACTGAATGTTATGTTTGGTGTAAGATTTGAAGTGACTAGATGGTTTGTCTTGGATTCCCTTAATAATGTCAGGAAATCCTTGTTTTGTTGTTTACCAAGACTTGTTCATGTTTGCAATAGTAAAATTCATTTGATTGACTACTATCATCATCTTTGTGATTTAGTAATCATATAATCATCCTGTAATCAGATTGCAATTCTGTTTGCTTATTTTCTTTTGGCCCGATTTTTGATGGTCTGAATTGTTGCTGGATGATGTTTAATCTTTAATCCTCTTGTTGATTTTCACTCTGAACTTAAATCTCGTGAAATTTTCTTTTACCATTCAAGTTCAATGGCTGCTAAAATGCAACAATGATCTTAAAAAACTTCTGTTTTGTTGCATAATTGTTTGGATTAATTAACTTAAATCTTAATGATTGAATTTTGGGTTTCCCATGTATTCATTTGTTCCCTTGTCAATTACATTCTCACACAAAAATAATTACACTAACAAAATAAGGGAATATAACAAAGCTTTTATGTAATTAGAAAACCAGTATGAAAAGGAAATTTGAAAACAATAAAATAATTAACAATCAAAAGAAAAATCAAACTTAATGATGAATCTAATACAATAGTTTTCAAGAATCAACCAAAACTACCTAATCTGAAACCAACAATACTATGATGATTCTATGATCATCATAAAAATATTTTCAATCTGGAACTACTGATCGGCACATCGGACAAGAATTATGTGATTTCAACCATGGCACAATGCAGCGATGATGAAAAAGATGAGAACATGGCAGGGAAGTAAGCTCTGTTCCCTTCCCACATTCCTCCAAACAAACAGGACAAGTAGTGCACTTTTCATCGTCTCCTTCACAATTGAACACCACCACTTTCTTCAACCCATCAATGGCAGCCTTTGAAACACCCCTCCTCGTCCTCATCATCTCTATAGTTTCATCAACACTACCACCACCATCCTCCACGATAACCACCCCATCAGCGGCTAACATACTCATCATCATATTGTCTCTCGATTGCGTAGAAATAAACTCGATCGTGCTGGTGATCTTCAAATCCACAATGACTTGAAACCCAAGACTCACCCCATATTCAATAATCAAACTTGAAAGAGAACTAATGATGCGTCCCTTCATGGAATTGCAGAGTTCGGGATCGAATCTCATAGACGAAAGCTGGTTGAAAATATAGGGATCCCACGAAATGGAGAAAGGGAGAAGTTGAAGAGGAATGGCGAAGTCATGTTGAATATCAGGAAAAGCTAATGTAGGATAATTGGATTCAACATTGCCTTGACGAGTTCGGAGATGTAGTTTAACCAGATTGCTGACATGAATTTCGATGAGCGCTGGAGTTGGAGCTGGAACTAGAAGTGGTGGGTTGATCCGTGGTGTTGCATATGTCTGAATGTCATAGTTGCGTAATACAGTTAACATGATGAAGCTTGAGAGGGAGAGGGAGAGGGAGAGAGAGAGAGTTGGAATAGTGATCATGAAGGTATGGGGTGAGTGACCTTATTTTATAGTAGTAGTCAAAGAGTGATAGCCACGCCTAGCATATTAGGAAACTACAGATCTTTACTTTCCAAAATAATTTAGGATTTCAAATATGGAAACTCAACCAAAATTAGGATTTCACATTTGTACCATTTAAAAATGTCGACTCTAAACAAATATTCTTATTTTCATAATCTTAGATATCATAAAAAAATATCAAATATATGAATATTTTTATGAAGATTCTTTACCTTTGAATTAATTTATAGTGTTTATTATATATTATGTAATTACTCTTCAATTAGTTTACATAACATTACTCTTCTTATTTTCTAATTTTAAATCTCAGTTTTGCTTTACCCTTTTCATACTTGAGAAAGTATTTTATATAGCGGATATATCATGTGATTAAAATAAGACTTGAAAAGTCATTTTTACTCAGTCTAAGGTGCAAAGTGTTCAATCACATCAAATTTTGATTTTACTTTTTACTAAATATCAATTAATAAGTAGAAGAGATGACATCATGTCATATTGATCACGTTATGCATCCATTATATAAAATTCTCTCTCACTTTATACTAAATGTAAAATGCAAATTAATGAATAAAAAAATGTATCACGTCATCTCAACCATGTGATATATCCATTATACAAAATAATACACATCATACCTTCACCGCGATTAACTCCTCATTTTTATTTGTCTTTTTCCAATAAAAAATATTAAGTTATTTAAAAGTTTATTACATGTTTGGATATTAGAGGATATCAAAATTTTCTAGCACACAAGTATATCATCAGATTTTAAATATAATTTTAACTTCACATCTACATTATAATATTTATCTTTAGAATGGGTTCATAAAATTGGTTAGATTTTACAACCCGTGAACTAGGGACTGAGCCATGGGTTGGCCTAGGGTGGCATGGCCCCTTAAGCCCTGTTTGTTTTCAGTGATAGAAGAGAGAGGATTAATAGTGAGGGATTAGTAAAATTGTATTTGTTTGATAACCAATGGAGTAGTAATAGTTCATGTTTATTTTGAGAGATAAGAATGTGATTAACCATGTGAAATTCCACAAATACCCTTATTGCATATTATTAAATTTAGACTTATACCAAGTAAAGAATAAATAAATTTTTACTCAATATTATTCTTCCTTTTTATTATTTTTTTTAATATTAAAGAATCTAATTATCAACAAATTTATTTATTCAATGTTTTTTTTAATTTTTTTTTAAATATTAATGAGTCCAATAGCAAAGCAGATTTGCCATCCAAATAGTAGATTTGCACCCCATTTGATACCTCATTTGATAGAAATTATAATAAATTTCACAGGGCATCATTTTAAATTGTAATAGATTATTTTACTCATGAGAAAATATATCAAGAGAAAATGCATATGTAAATGAGCCCATGATGTAGTATTGCAGTCTCTATGTCCATGTGCTCCCAAGATGACAGAGAAACCAAAGGAAATAAAGAATTACGAAGAAGAAATGCCAGAAAGGTTCAAATGAACACGGGTATAAAGACATAAAAAAAAACTCACTTTCTATTAGTTATGTTTTACGAGGAAAATATCAATAACTTGCATGTATGCATTACAGTGAAGTGTTTAATGATCAAGTTGGTTTGGACCTTGTTAATTTTGAGTAGTGAAATCCTTAAGCAAATGTAAGATTGCTCCAATAGGCAAGCACAACCGATCGGTATTAAATTAAGCTCACAAAAATAACTCAATTACACTGACCCATACCAGCTAGTACTAAGGATCAGTGCAAACTGATAAGACATCTGAATTTATGCATAATTAAATACTATTCAAATCCTATTATATTTATAGCTACATAAAAACAGGATCTGAAAACTGTTGAATGAAATTTTCATAATATGCCCTCCAATGTCCTGCAGCATATACTACGCTGCTTTTGATCTTCATCTGAAAAAACTACTAAGCCATTATTACAAAAATAATCTATTACGATTTAACTCATGATTTCCTTTTCCTCATACATTCCAAGCCCTGCTTCATAACAACAATAATACATGAACTGCAGATTTTCTACTACCAAGTTACAAAAACCAGCCCAACATAGGAGCAACATTTACTCAACAAAAAGACCATCATAAAGTATTGCAGCAGCAGAAACTACCTAACCTATAATATTTATGCATCACATAATATATTACAAGTCATGTGGGAAACAAAAAGACCATCATACAGTAGATGTCACATTTAAATATGACCCTCCAATAGCAAAGAAACCCACTCCATCTTGTCATTCTCATCTAAACTGAAAAACAAGTCAACTTTGTCTTCATCTTTCACTATCATAGATGCTGCCATCAATCTTTGGGTATTACTCATTGGCAACTTCAGAAGTTCTGCATTAACCAACCTCCTCTGTTGAGATAGGTCATGTGAATATCCCATCCTATGAGCAATCTCCACCATCGTAGTATTAGTATTCTCAATGAATGATCCAAGATTTTTTGCCATCTCTGATAGTTCAGTGAGAATCCCCTCAGCATGTCGAGCCCGCTTTTTCCCAGTTTTAGTAGAGTCAGCACGGTTGGGAACATTACCTACAGTAGACATTGAGTAATCCGTATCACCCATGTTCATACTAAACTGTTCAACAGGAGACTGTTCTCCTTCTTCTGTAGTTGCATTTGCATCCTCTTGAATGCAGCATGCAAAATCTTTCTTCTTGAATAGAGCATGTAAAATCACTATATACATAGCACATGCATAATTAATGGATGAAACAACATATTGGAGGGCTACAAATTCCTCTATCAACTCCTTTCTCTCTTTCTTAGTGGCATAATTATTATCCATCTACAAAAAATGAATAAACAATAAGCGGCTAAAATTAGCACAGAAAGTAAAACAAATAATAGATAATAGTATTAATTACCAAGTGGAGCATTGTTCAAATTTTTTCATACCACATGTTAACAATATGAAAGTAGTATTAATTTCCTATAGAAAAGAAATGGAAAAGATCATAAAAAATAAAAGAACATAAAGAAAAAACAAATAATTTGGTGCTACACAAAATTAGCACAACATTGATGCACAAAGACATCAAAGAAAATGAAAGATATTTATTTTCAATGGAAACCCAACCTATTTATGTGTAAGCAGTGATAAACCTATTTATGTGTAACACAATATTTTACCACATTATTTATGTGTAAGCAGTGATAAACATTATGGTACTATCTGTTTGGCAGAGGTTAAAAAAAGAAACATTTTTTCCCAAACTTTTTTGTTTTTAGTACAAAAAAAAAAATTTACTTTTCAGACCCTTCAAGTCTAGAAAGATCTAAAAGGTTAAATTTTTTTTGAAAAAATTCCAAAAAAGTTCACTAAAGACGAAAAAAACAACTCTTTCGCTTCTTTTTCTTGGTCTTTATCTCGTGAACTTTTTTCCAGATTTGTTTTATTTTTATTTTTATTTTTTGAGGCTTCTAGTCTAGTAGAACCTAAGAATGATGTGTTTTTTTGAATTATTATTTTTTTATTTTTATTTTTATGAAGTTCATTAAAAAGGGGAAAAAGTCCACAAAAAAGTTGTTAAAATTTATTGCTAAAGCCCTAAGATTGAATGTGCCCTCAAGAAAATTACAGTGCTTACTGCCTAAGGCCAATTAAAATTGCAATTTATTTAACCATGCATTAGACAGATATCTGTTAAGGCAAGCCAAGTTGTTGCACTGCACAAGATTTAAGTCAAAAGTAACAAGTCTGGTACAAAAACCATGTCATCATTGAAGCTATGAAGATTTAGCCTTCACTCTTGGTGTACTTTGATAACAACCGTAATGCAAGCAGCCTGCCTCCACCAACAGCTGTTTCTGATAACTACCTAAGATGCAAGAGAGTGCAAGATAGTCTTTTGCTCAAATATTGGACGTGAAGTGTTGAAAACAGAACAAACATAATAATAAATTTGAAGGCCATAGGGTCACTAAAACTATGAGAAAAACTATGATTTCTAACCAAAAATAATAATAATAACCATAGACAAATTTTGAATTCTACAGTATTATATCAACCATGGCACAATGCAGCGATGATGAAAAAGATGAGAACATGGCAGGGAAGTAAGCTCTGTTCCGTCCCCACATTCCTCCAAACAAACCGGACAAGTAATGCACTTTTCATCATCTCCTTCACCATTGAACACCACCACTTTCTTCAACCCATCAATGGCAGCCTTTGAAACACCCCTCCTCGTCCTCATCGTCTCTATAGTTTCATCAACACTATCACCATCATCCTCCACGATAACCACCCCATCAGCGGCTAACATACTCATCATCATATCGTCCCTCGATTGCGTAGAAATAAACTCAATCGTGCTGGTGATCTTCAAATCCACAATGACTTGAAACCCAAGACTCACCCCATATTCAATAATCAAACTTGAAAGAGAACTAATGATGCGTCCCTTCATGGAATTGCAGAGTTCGGGATCGAATCTCATAGACGAAAGCTGGTTGAAAATATAGGGATCCCACGAAATGGAGAAAGGGAGAAGTTGAAGAGGAATGGCGAAGTCATGTTGAATATCAGGAAAAGCTAATGTAGGATAATTGGATTCAACATTGCCTTGACGAGTTCGGAGATGTAGTTTAACCAGATTGCTGACATGAATTTCGATGAGCGCTGGAGTTGGAGCTGGAACTAGAAGTGGTGGGTTGATCCGTGGTGTTGCATATGTCTGAATGTCATAGTTGCGTAATACAGTTAACATGATGAAGCTTGAGAGGGAGAGGGAGAGGGAGAGGGAGAGAGAGAGTTGGAATAGTGATTATGAAGGTATGGGGTGAGTGACCTTATTTTATAGTAGTAGTCAAAGTGTGATAGCCACGCCTAGCATATTAGGAAACTACAGATCTTTACTTTCCAAAATAATTTAGGATTTCAAATATGGAAACTCAACCAAAATTAGGAAACTACCCAACTTCCAACAAGCTTCCAACATTACTTGTTGGGTTTTCAAATATGGACACTCAAACGGCAAAAAATCAAGTAATCTTGATCTTCATCATCCCAATTCCAACTCTCTGTTTCTAGCTTTTGTCAATGGCAACTATATCAACAGACTACAACATTCAGATGTATACATTACCATGGATCGACCCACTTCCTGAAACTCCAGTTCTTGTCAAAATTCACATGACCCGTGTTCTCAAACTTCAGCTCCGAACTCCTCAAGGCAATACCAATACCAATTATCCCACATGCACTGCTCCAGATTTTCAAGATTCCTTCACCATTCCTTATCACTTTCTCTCCTCCATCTCTTGATCCGAATTCTATATTTTCCACGGACTCTACGACATGAGATTCGACCCTAGTTTATGCGATCTCCAGAAGCAACACATCATCGATTCCATATTCGATCTTGATTGGTTGCGATTTGGGAACCTTCGTGGGATTCAAGTCACTGCTCGGATCAAACTCACCACCACAACGAATTACGACATGTCTATGTTGGCAGAGGACTTGGTGATTACAGAAGATGGTAGTGGGTCTGTACAGAGGAGGATGGGAGCTTCGAAAGCTCCATTGATGGGTTGAAGAAAAAGTGGTGGTGTTCAATGGTGGAGGAGATGATGAAAAGTTCAGGACATGTGCTGTTTGTTTTGAGGAATTTGGGGAGATACGAAATTCGAGATCCATAATAATATTACGGTATTCATATATTTTTACGTTGTAAACAAAAATATAGGTAGTTTGATTGAGCTTAAGTTTGACATCTCATAAATAATTTATTTTTTTTATTTTTATATATTTTTTTTATCATATTATTTTTTAATTTTTTTACATATCTTTTTATAAGAAAATAAAAAATACACTTATTTAGATCATAAATAATTTATTTTTTTATTTTTATATATTTTTTTTTATTATATTATTTTTTAATTTTTTTATATATCTTTTTATAAAAAAATAAAAAATACATTTATTTAGATCATTTTAAATTGTAAAATTTTGTATCTTCTTTTATTATGATTTAAGTTTGATTTTTGTTTTGTTTTGTTTTAATTGTTGATTGTTTGATTGCGTTCAAATTTCTCCAACCTTCTCAATAACTGAAAAATAAATTAGTCAAATTTAAACCAGTAAATTTGTAATTAAAATTTTATTTTTAGCTGAAATTACAAAACAATTAGAAAAATTCAATTCTGAAGTTACGATTTCTTACAAATGAGGTGTTCTTTACGCACACAAAAAATAAATAAATAAATAAATAAAATCAGAAATAATTTTTCGTTGATCCCATTCGTTGGTAGTAAAATAGGCATATGAAAAATAATAGGGTGAGATTTCCCTCGAATTCACTAATTGGACCAGTGGAGAGGGTCAATAACCATATATGTTTTTGGTTCACATTTGTACCATTTAAAAATGTAGACACTAAACAAATATTCTTATTTTCATAATCTTAGATAACATAAAAAAATATCAAATATATGAATATTTTTATGTAGATTCTTTACCTTTGAATTAATTTATAGTGTTTATTATATATTATGCAATTACTCTTCAATTAGTTTACATAACATTACTCTTCTTATTTTCTAATTTTAAATCTCAGTTTTGCTTTACCCTTTCCATATTTGAGAAAGTATTTTATATAGCGGATACATCATGTGATTAAAATAAGACTTGAAAAGTCATTTTTACTCTGTCTGAGATGCAAAGTGTTCAATCACATCAAATTTTGATTTCACTTTTTACTAAATATCAATTAATCAGTAGAAGAGATAACATCATGTCATATTAGTCACGTGATGTATCCATTATATAAAATTCTCTTTCACTTTATACTAAATGTAAAATGCAAATTAATGAATAAAAAAATATATCACGTCATCTCAACCATGTGATATATCCATTATACAAAATAATACACATCATACCTTCACCGCGATTAACTCCTCATTTTTATTTGTCTTTCCAATAAAAAATATTAAGTTATTTAAAAGTTTATTACATGTTTGGATATTAGAGGATATCAAAATTTTTTAGCACACAAGTATACCATCAGATTTTAAATATAATTTTAACTTCACAGCTACATTATAATATTTATCTTTAGAATGGGTTCATAAAATTGGTTAGATTTTACAACCCGTGAACTAAGGACTGAGCCATGGGTTGGCCTAGGGTGCCATGGCCCCTTGGGCCCCGTTTGTTTTCAGTGATAGAAGGGAGGGGATTAATAGTGAGAAGATTAATAGTGAGGGGATTAGTAAAATTATATTTGTTTGATAACCAATGGAGTAGTAATAGTTCATGTTTGTTTTGAGAGATAGAAATGGGATTAACCATGTGAAATTCCACAAATACCCTTATTGCATATTATTAAATTTGGACTTATACCAAGTAAAGAATAAATAAATTTTTACTCAATATTATTCTTCCTTTTAATTATTTTTTTTAATATTACAGAATCTAATTATCAACAAATTTATTTATTCAATGTATTTTTTTTAATATTAATGAGTCCAATAGCAAAGCAGATTTGCCACCTAAATAGTAAATTTGCACCCCATTTGATACCTCATTTGATAGAAATTATAATAAATTTCACAGGGCATCATTTTAAAGTGTAATAGATTATTTTACTCATGAGAAAATGCATCAAGAGAAAATGCATATGTAAATGAGCCCATGATGTAGTATTGCAGTCTCTATGTCCATGTGCTCCCAAGATGACAGAGAAATCAAAGGAAATAAAGAATTACGAAGAAGAAATGCCAAAAAGATTCAAATGAATAAGGATAAAAGGACCAAAAAAAACTCACTTTCTATTGGTTATGTTTTACGAGGAAAATATCAATAACTTGCATGAATGCATTACAGTGAAGTGTTTAATGATCAAGTTGGTTTGGACCTTGATAATTTTGAGTAGAGAAATCCTTAAGCAAATGTAAGATTGCTCCAATAGACAAGCACAACCGATCGGTATTAAATTAAACTCACAAAAATAACTCAGTTACACTGACCCATACCAGCTAGTACTAAGGATCAGTGCAAACTGATAAGACATCTGAATTTATGCATAATTAAGTATTATTCAAATCCTATTATATTTATAGCTACATAAAAAGCAAGATCTGAAAACTGTTGAATGAAATTTTCATAATATGCCCTCCAATATCCTGCAGATCTTCATCTGAAGAAACTACTAAGCCATTATTACAAAAATAATCTATTACAATTTAACTCATGATTTCCTTTTTCTCATACATTCCAAGCCCTGCTGCATAACAACAATAATACATGAACTGCAAATTTTCTACTACCAAGTTACAAAAATCAGTCCAATACAGGAGCAACATTTACTCAACAAAAAGACCATCATAAAGTATTGCAACAGCAGAAACTACCTACCCTATAATATTTATGCATCACATAATATATTACAAGTCATGTGGGAAACAAAAAGACCATCATACAGTAGATGTCACATTTAAATATGACCTTCCAATAGCAAAGAAACCCACTCCATCTTGTCATTCTCATCTAAACTGAAAAACAAGTCAACTTTGTCTTTATCTTTCACTATCATAGATGCTACCATCAATCTTTGGGTATTACTCATTGGCAACTTCAGAAGTTCTGCATTAACCAACCTTCTCTGTTGAGATAGGTCATGTGAATATCCTATCCTATGAGCAATCTCCACCATCGTAGTATTAGTATTCTCAATGAATAATCTAAGATTTTTTGCCATCTTTGATAGTTCAGTGGGAATCCCCTCAGCATGTCGAGCCCGCTTTTTCCTAGTTTTAATAGAGTCAGCACGGTTGGGAATATTACCTGCAGTAGACATTGAGTAATCTGTATCACCCATGTTCATACTAAACTGTTCAACAGGAGACTGCTCTCCATCTTCTGTAGTTGCATTTGCATCCTCTTGAATGCAGCATGCAAAATCTTTCTTCTTGAATACAGCATGTAAAATCACTATATACATAGCACATGCATAATTAATGGATGAAACAACATGTTGGAGGGCTACAAATTCCTCTATCAACTCCTTTCTCCCTTTCTTAGTGGCATAATTTTTCTAATTTTAAATCTCAGTTTTGCTTTACCCTTTTCATACTTGAGAAAGTATTTTATATAGCGGATACATCATGTGATTAAAATAAGACTTGAAAAGTCATTTTTACTCGGTCTAAGATGCAAAGTGTTCAATCACATCAAATTTTGATTTCACTTTTTACTAAATATCAATTAATCAGTAGAAGAGATAACATCATGTCATATTGGTCACGTGATGTATCCATTATATAAAATTCTCTTTCACTTTATACTAAATGTAAAATGCAAATTAATGAATAAAAAAATATATCGCGTCATCTCAACCATGTGATATATCCATTATACAAAATAATACACATCATACCTTCACCGCGATTAACTCCTCATTTTTATTTGTCTTTCCAATAAAAAATATTAAGTTATTTAAAAGTTTATTACATGTTTGGATATTAGAGGATATCAAAATTTTTTAGCACACAAGTATACCATCAGATTTTAAATATAATTTTAACTTCACAGCTACATTATAATATTTATCTTTAGAATGGGTTCATAAAATTGGTTAGATTTTACAACCCGTGAACTAGGGACTGAGCCATGGGTTGGCCTAGGGTGGCATGGCCCCTTGGCCCCGTTTGTTTTCAGTGATAGAAGGGAGGGGATTAATAGTGAGAAGATTAATAGTAAGGGGATTAGTAAAATTATATTTGTTTGATAACCAATGGAGTAGTAATAGTTCATGTTTGTTTTGAGAGATAGAGATGGGATTAACCATGTGAAATTCCACAAATACCCTTATTGCATATTATTAAATTTGGACTTATACCAAGTAAAGAATAAATAAATTTTTACTCAATATTATTCTTCCTTTTAATTATTTTTTTTAATATTACAGAATCTAATTATCAACAAATTTATTTATTCAATGTATTTTTTTTAATATTAATGAGTCCAATAGCAAAGCAGATTTGCCACCTAAATAGTAAATTTGCACCCCATTTGATACCTCATTTGATAGAAATTATAATAAATTTCACAGGGCATCATTTTAAAGTGTAATAGATTATTTTACTCATGAGAAAATGCATCAAGAGAAAATGCATATGTAAATGAGCCCATGATGTAGTATTGCAGTCTCTATGTCCATGTGCTCCCAAGATGACAGAGAAATCAAAGGAAATAAAGAATTACGAAGAAGAAATGCCAAAAAGATTCAAATGAATAAGGATAAAAGGACCAAAAAAAACTCACTTTCTATTGGTTATGTTTTACGAGGAAAATATCAATAACTTGCATGAATGCATTACAGTGAAGTGTTTAATGATCAAGTTGGTTTGGACCTTGATAATTTTGAGTAGAGAAATCCTTAAGCAAATGTAAGATTGCTCCAATAGACAAGCACAACCGATCGGTATTAAATTAAACTCACAAAAATAACTCAGTTACACTGACCCATACCAGCTAGTACTAAGGATCAGTGCAAACTGATAAGACATCTGAATTTATGCATAATTAAGTATTATTCAAATCCTATTATATTTATAGCTACATAAAAAGCAAGATCTGAAAACTGTTGAATGAAATTTTCATAATATGCCCTCCAATATCCTGCAGATCTTCATCTGAAGAAACTACTAAGCCATTATTACAAAAATAATCTATTACAATTTAACTCATGATTTCCTTTTCCTCATACATTCCAAGCCCTGCTGCATAACAACAATAATACATGAACTGCAAATTTTCTACTACCAAGTTACAAAAATCAGTCCAACACAGGAGCAACATTTACTCAACAAAAAGACCATTATAAAGTGTTGCAGCAGCAGAAACTACCTACCCTATAATATTTATGCATCACATAATATATTACAAGTCATGTGGGAAACAAAAAGACCATCATACAGTAGATGTCACATTTAAATATGACCTTCCAATAGCAAAGAAACCCACTCCATCTTGTCATTCTCATCTAAACTGAAAAACAAGTCAACTTTGTCTTTATCTTTCACTATCATAGATGCTGCCATCAATCTTTGGGTATTACTCATTGGCAACTTCAGAAGTTCTGCATTAACCAACCTTCTCTGTTGAGATAGGTCATGTGAATATCCTATCCTATGAGCAATCTCCACCATCGTAGTATTAGTATTCTCAATGAATAATCTAAGATTTTTTGCCATCTTTGATAGTTCAGTGGGAATCCCCTCAGCATGTCGAGCCCGCTTTTTCCTAGTTTTAATAGAGTCAGCACGGTTGGGAATATTACCTGCAGTAGACATTGAGTAATCTGTATCACCCATGTTCATACTAAACTGTTCAACAGGAGACTGCTCTCCATCTTCTGTAGTTGCATTTGCATCCTCTTGAATGCAGCATGCAAAATCTTTCTTCTTGAATACAGCATGTAAAATCACTATATACATAGCACATGCATAATTAATGGATGAAACAACATGTTGGAGGGCAACAAATTCCTCTATCAACTCCTTTCTCCCTTTCTTAGTGGCATAATTATTATCCATCTACAAAAAATGAATAAACAATAAGCGGCTAAAATTAGCACAGAAAGTAAAACAAATAATAGATAATAGTATTAATTACCAAGTGGAGCATTGTTCAAATTTTTTCATACCACATGTTAACAATGTGAAAGTAGTATTAATTTCCTATAGAAAAGAAATGAAAAAGATTATAAAAATAAAAGAACATAAAGAAAAAACAAATAATTTGGTGCCACACAAAATTAGCACTACATTGATGCACAAAGACATCAAAGAAAATGAAAGATATTTATTTTCAATGGAAACCCAACCTATTTATGTGTAAGCAGCGATAAACCTATTTATGTGTAACACAATATTTTACCACATTATTTATGTGTAAGCAGTGATAAACATTATGGTACTATCTGTTTGGCAGAGGTTAAAAAAAGAAACATTTTTTCCCAAACTTTTTTCTTTTTAGTACCAAAAAAAAATTATAGTAAATATACTCTTGCCAAAAATAATATCTGTTTAGCATGTGCACACAAACTGGTAGAAAAACTATGATTTCTAACCAAAAATAATAATAATAACCATAGACAAATTTTGAATTCTACAGTATTATATTATTGTCCCTACCCTAGCATAATGTATAGCAAATATACTCTTGCCCGAGAGGAACATGCTGATTCCAACTATACCCTATTTTTTTTCCGCTACAACGGAAAGAATTCCAACTATACCCTATAATTAGGCTACTTCGTTAATCAAACTTATTTCTGTAGGCAAGTACTTACTAAAGAATCAAATATACTAGTTCAACATCTTCAACAAAAACCAGCAAGGCTAGGAAAAAAGAATTGATGTCCACTTTGTACAATAACATTCAACAAATCACCGAGATCGTTAATTGAAAAACCCATTATAAAAGATGATTTACAAATCTTCTCATCATGATATGATTGCTAGGATAACTCATCTTTATCAGTTTATCACTCCTCCAAATAGATGAGCATGTCACCAATGGTATTGGACTCCATAACTCAATAGGTGACAATCCTTCCTATACAGTCCTCCACATTTGATTAGAGTTCTGCTCTTTAAAGAGGCGCCATTAATCTTAAGCAAAAAGTAGCACCTGACCTCCAAATTAAAAACCAAAATGAAACATCTTCTCCCAGCAAAAATTAGTGAAGGATATCAATTGTCTAAAGATCCATTTGCTAATCCACCAGACAACCAACCTAGCAATATGGTTCAACTAATCTAGCTTCCTAAATGTGATTGCAGGTGCTACCTGTTTCTCCGCAAGAAGGGTGAGGAATGGTATCTTTATTTTCTACTTTATTTAGACAAAATGCATCTTTCTTAGATATACACAAGAAACAACCAAAGTATCATTTACATATAAATTTTAGCATCAGGTGCATCAATGCCTGCTCCAACACATTAGTTACCCACTAAAAAGGGTCAGCAATTCCCTTTATATGAAGAAATTGCCACCTCAAATCTAAGTTAAAGACATGAAACAAAATTAATCAATTAAAAATTTAGCCATTGTTATTGTGATATACATTGTTGAGTCCATTTCCTAAAGATTAATATTTTAGCTTAGATGATTCTTGAGCAATCTCCGTAGTTAATGATCAAAATTGGAAACTTGAGTCAAGGCTAGAACAAATAGATAGACAGATTTTGTGCAAGGTAAAACAATTATACATTGCATTAGCACATGATGTATATTGTTTTTTTTTTTTTAATTCTCTCTCTCTCTCTCTCTCTCTCTCTCTCTCTCTCCCTTCTACTCTCTCACACTCTCGCACACTCTTCCTCTTTAGCGGCGCCACTGCCACTATCTAAGACGCCAGAGTCGCCGTATAGCTAGCACCGCCGCTTCACTCTCGCGTCTCTCTTCCACCTCTGTCCGCGTCGCACCGCCGACCCACGTCCACCTCCTCCATCGTCCATCACTGACACACCTCTGTCCACCTCGAATCGCCGCTCCACCTCCTCCATCATCCATCATCGGTGCCGATCTCCTTCGTCGTTCGTCAGTCATCAAACCAGATCTAAGATCTATCGCCATCTCTCTCTATATGTGACACAGATCTGTTGATGTTTGATTTAGCTGAGATCTCAGCTCTGTTGATGTTTGATAATTTTGTTGATGATGATCTGTTGATGTTGTTTTCGTTTTTTTTTTTTGGTCGGGGAAATATCGGGGTCGAGGAAACCCGATCCCTGTTAGGGGACGGGGATGGGGACGGTAATAACTTCCCTGTCGGGGATCGGGACTGGAGACGGGAGGGTTTTTGCCATCGGGGATCGAGGACGGGGAGTGTGATTCCCGACCCCGCCCCGCTCCGTTGCCATTCCTAAACCCAAGGTCTGATGTTGTAAGTATTTTTTATACTAAGTGGATAATATTGTTTGACTTGTAAAGTTTTTAACCACCTAGGAGGAATGAGGAAAATTCTACTCCCTCAAAGAAAAAAAGTGCCATTTTAACTTGAAATACCATCCAGTGTTATTTACGTGATATTTATAACTAAATGAAAATTGCAACACGTATTAAAGCCCCGTTTGACATCTAATTTAAAAACCATTTTTTTTTAAAATTCTTTTGGTTTTCCAAAAATCTTTACTTTGTATAATTTTTTTCGCTTCTTTTGCATTATCTTTTTTGAACCATTTGTTGTGCTTCCACTCTTGAGAATGAAACATATCCTGTAAAGCAGTCTTATGTTTAACAATGTTTTCCAAAGTAATGAAATTGGTGGCAAAGCGTGTGATGATAGGACGTAACAACTCTCTATCTCCTGTGAATCTCTTCATGAAATCAACGACCCAATTGGAGTTGTAAATAAATCGTGTGATTACTTTTGCACAATCCAACACCTTTGCTACACTTTTTTTCTTCCCAATATCCTCTAACATAAGATCAATACAATGAGCTGCACATCCTGTCCAATACAGATTCTCCCTTTTTTGCATGAGTTTGTAACCAGCAGCCTTTATCGCAGCTTCGTTATCAGTTACGATTTGCACAACATATTCTTCTCCAATTTCATCCACTACCTTGTCCATGAGGCCCAAGTAATAATCAGTTGTTCTACTAGGTACATCAGTTACATCCACAGACTTCTAAAAAATTGTTCCACGATTGCTGCACACAAGAAAATTAACAATGTGCTTTCTTGTGGGTCCAGACCATCCATCACACATAATTGTAACACCTCTCTCAGCCTAACTAGATTTATGAGATTTTATCCAATTTTGTAAAGCTTCATACTCCATTGGTAAATACACTTCAGTTACCTGTTTAATAATAAATAACAAACAAAAACTATTAACAAGCATCTTAATAATTTATTTATTTTTAAACATAGATAGAGTTTTTTCAAACTTTAAGTTAGAGGCTTACTTCATAAGAAGTAGGTAGCTTTGTTCCTCTTCCAACCTCTCTTGCAGTATCCAACATTGGTTCTAGCCATTTAGAATTAACAACATTAGTAGGCACTGGAGTGAACAATACAAACTGGCTAACTGCTCTTCCTAATTTTTTCTTTGCTTCTTTCAAAAATCTAGAGGAGAGTTTGGATTGTTTGTTGCCTTTGGTCCTATGAAGATCCACATCTATGTCTAATAATTGAACTTCTGGAGAGGATGTATCAATCCATTTCCTACCTGTACTAGTCTCACGAACACTATGACTTCGCCGAGCAAAACCAGGAGGAGGTGCGACCTCAATATCACTAGCCCTATTTTGTCGGGCCATAACCATTTCTAAGTCCTCTTCATCATTTTCATCATCATCACACTGACTGGCTCTAATTTGTTCTGTCAATTCCTCATTCATCTTCCTTTTGTCAAGCGTTTTGCCCTTATAATTATTCAAATGATCCATCATTAGTGTTCGAACTTCACCACTGACATTAGCACAAGGTGCGACTTGACCTTTCATATGGGCCAAATGTTTCTTCAACCTAGTTATACCACCATTTATTCACCACTGACATTAGCACAAGGTGCGACTTGACCTTTCATATGGGCCAAATGTTGCTTCAACCTACTTATACCACCATTTAACTCTTTTCCACAAAATCTACACCTAATTTTATGCCTATTATTTTCTAGTGGAATTCCAAATTTCCAACCAATATCATCACTTGGAAGTTTTCCACTAGAACCACCTTCGTGCGCCATTATAACTTTCAATTATCTACAATAACAGTTTTCAATTAAAAAATATTGTAATTCTAATTTAGTTACTAATAATAATGCATTTAAAATAAAAATAAAAAATCTAAAATATTAAACCTCTTTACTTAACAATTAAACCTCTTTAAAAAAAATCTAATAGATGAAACCTCTTTAAAAAAAAAAATGAACATTCAAATTGTTGACAAGCAAAAGTTTTGAAAACTATAGTGAAAGTCAGTCAAGCAGGTTCGATAAATGAGCCTAATTATACACTACTACCACTTAATTTATTGGTTTTAATAGGTCCATGAACAGTGAACCAAATAAATCATCTTAAAGGAATTAAGGAGGAGAGAAATAAAATGAAAGAAGTTGGAATAAGATTAATGAAAAAAAAAACACAACATGCAGAGAAATGAACAGAATTAAATAGTCCAATTAGAGGAGAAGTTACCCTATAAAAACAGAATAAAAAAAAAAAACCCCGTCTTAAGCATATGCATATATCCACATGACTATAAAATGAGACAAGTATATTTTCAAACCACACAACATGCAGAGATTAACAAAATTAAGTAGTCCAGTTAGTGGAGAATTTTCCTTACAAAAAAATAATAAAAAAAAAACCTGAAATAAAAAATCTGACAGATTAAATCTCTTTAAATAATATATATAAAAAATATATATATTGAGCATATGTGCATTTAAAATATATATAAAAAATATTTTTCTATATAAAAAATTATATTCTATATAAAACATTATATTCTATGCTGATAATATATATATATAAAATTATGGGAGAACAAACTTGCTCCTGAGTTGTAAAATTATGAGTTCTATTCAGCTTCTGAACTTATGTGCATTTAAAATTATGTAAAAAATTGCTCTTGAGTTCTATTCAACCTCAATAATATATATAAAAAATTATGTGCATTTAAAAAAATAACCACAGAAAAAAAAAAAACAAAACAAAACAAAAACAAATTATAAACAAACTGAACACCACTTAAAAAGTAAAACCATGACTTCTTCAGCCAAAATAAAAAAACAGAGCATCACATATACAAACAGAGAGATCTGATTCCAAGAACTCTCTCACCACGCAGAAGCAGGGTTTTTTTGGAGAGTTCTATTAACAAATTCAGATTTCATTATGGGTTGTGGAGTCAGCAGTGGTGGGGGGACAGAGTTCTCTTGGCTACCTTTTTGGAAGTGGTGAGGTTCCAAAAGCCACCACTAGCAATGTTGAAGCTGGTCAAAACATATACAAACAGAGCACGAGAGAACAAACCTTCAACAAACCTTCAACAGAGCATCAGCTGTATGGACTGTATCAGAAACAAATCGCTTACGTATCGGATTCAGGCCGATACGTTTCGGGAATTGGCCGCTACGGACGTAAAATTCATTCTCGCCAGTATACCAGTGAGTATCCGACTCGGCACTCTCATTTTCCGATACGAACCGGCCAATACGGCACGTACCAGCCGATATTTAGAACCTTGGTAGGGATTCTAACTAAAGCTTTAAATTGTTAGAAACATATTTTTGTTTATTTTATTCTCTTACTAGTATTTTCACTAGCATGTCTTGAAATGACTGAAAGTGTTTCAAGAGATATATTTATCAACAATGCTAGAGGGCCATAATTTTTATGGCCACAATAGCTCAAAACTGCCAAAACGACGTTTTGAGCCATTGTGGCCATAATTTTTTATCAACAATGCTAGAGGGCCATAATTTTTTTATGCCAAAAAGACGTCGTTTTGACAGTTTTGAGCCATTGTGGCCACAAAAATTGTGGCCCTCAAACATTTTCCTATATTTATACTTTCCATGGATTTCAGCACAGATTCAAACCCTAATGCCATGTTGAGCCTTCCGGACGAGATTATCACCGACATACTCTCGATTGCCAGTGAGGCTGCTTCTTCGATTCAGATGTGTTTCTATGCATTGGCGTGCTCTAATTGACAGCTCAGATTTTGTTAAGTCACATTTGAATGGATCAATTGAAACCAATACCGCTCTGAGCTTCATAATTAAATTGTTTTTTTAGTGATAATTTTAGGAGCAAAATGAAAGGTTTACAGTGTAGTATTAACATTTCGTTCCTTTGGCTATGGACTTCTAGGTCTAGGCATCTGTTAATACAAAATTTATATTCTTGCTAGTTGTTCTTGCAACTCTTTTATTTTCTGGTACACTTGTACAAACTAATTTTTATTATGTTTCCTATTTGTATTTTGTGAGATCTTTTTTTATAAAATAAGTATGACATATTTGAATTTGGACAACTTGAGCCAAGTCCCATTTTTTTTATTTTTTTATTTTTTCAGTTAAATTTGGGCTCGAGTTCGAATTTAACCTGCCTAAATTTTCAATCCGCCCGACTTATGACTTAACTGGAAGAGCATCAATTGTGAGGTGTAATGTATATATAGTATACTTAAGCCCAGTTTGTTGGCTATGTTAAGTTAAATGAGACTATTAGTACAATAAGATTGTTGGCCATATTAAGTTAAATGAGATTATTAGTACGATGAGATTGAGTGAAATAATTACTAGTGTGGTAATATTAAGTTAAAGATATAAAATAAATTATGTTTGTTTATACATTAATATAACAATATTAGTTTATTGAGATTAAATCTATGAAATTACATAGAAAGTGACTTTGTTGTTTTTGTGAAGTGAAGAGCAAAATAATCTTTCTACCTCTAATCTTATGGGATTAGACAACACCGCTTCCCATGGGATTGCTAGTATTTTCCTTGAATGAGTTTCATAATCTCATTGAGCTCTTTTCAGAACAAACATAATTTTTAATATATATATATATATATATAAAATTATGAGAGAACAAACCTGCTCCTGAGTTATAAAATTATGAGTTCTATTCAGCTTTTGAACTTATGTGCATTTAAAATTATGTAAAAAATTGCTCCTCAGTTCTATTCAACCTCAATAATATATATAAAAAATTATGTGCATTAAAAAAAATAACCACAGAAAAAAAAAACGAAACAAAACAAAACAAAAACCATGACTTAAAACAAATTATAAACAAACCGATGACTTCTTCAGCCACAAGAAAAAGAAAAACAGAACATCACATATACTTAAACAAACAATAAACAAACCGAACATAACTTAAAACAAAACCATGACTTCTTTAGCCAAAAGAAAAAAACAGAGCATCACATATACAAACAGAGCATGAGAGTCCGTGAGTTTGTTCCTTCCTTTTCTGCTTTTGCGTTTATTTTTGCAGGTACTTTGGTCCATTATTTTTTCTTTTGTAGGTGCTTTGCTCATTATTTTTTGCTTTTCCAGGTGCTTTGTTTTGCTTTTCTCGATTATTTTTGCAGGTGAATTTCAGCTGTATCGGACTGTATCAGAAACAAATCTTTTATGTATCGGATTCGGGCCGATATGTGTCGGGAATTGGTCGATACGGCTGTGAAATTCATTCTCGCCGGTATATCGGTGAATATCCGACTTGGCCCTTCCATTTTCCGGTACGAACCGGCCGGTACAGGACATACCGGCCGATATTTAGAACCTTGTACGCCACATAAAAAGAATGCCAAGTTAAGCATATATATTAAAACAAAAGCAATACGACGCAACTAATATGGGATATTCAGATGAGACAACCCCCTCAATAATACAGCAGTAATGATCTCCACAACAAAAACTAAATTTTACTAATTCTGGAAGTGTCGTCCAAAAAATACAATGTAATAATTAATAAATCCATTATTTATTTATTTATTTATAAGTAATAATCATTCAATCTTCAAGACGTGAAAATAAGTTTACGTAAGTTATAATATAATTGTTAGACTTATTTATTTTGAGGATTTGTTTAATTATGTTTTAATTTATTTGGAAGAGAAAAATAAAATCAAAATTTATTTTGACGATTTATTTGAAAGAGAAAAATAGAATCAACATTTATTTTGATGATTTATTTAATTATGTTTTAATTTATTTGAAAGAGAAAAATAGAATCAAAATTTATTTTGTCCCATTATTTCTCATTTAAACCTTTATCCTAAATGTTGTTAGAATGTATTTAATATTTGATTAAATCAGAAGTTCAAACAGCCCAGCACAACAGTAGTTCAAAAGGTTCAAGTGGAAGATATTCAAATTAGTAATGATGGAGTGGCTATAAATTCAAATGAATACAATGGTTATAAACGGTTATAAATTCAAATGAATACAACGACTATAAACGGCTATAAGTTTCATTATATATACCAAAGCCTCTAATGTAAACAAGTTAAAAAAAAACAGAAAATATTCTTTGATCTATAATCACTCACATCTATTCTCTAAAAAATTCTCTGAAAAGTGTTTTTCAATTTTTGTTTACATCCTCTTTCAGAAATTATACACTGAGAAGTATAGCTTTAAGCCTATCTTTCCCGTGTGAGGTTTATAGAAAAACTAGAGCTTCATTTTTATATCTATCTTTGAGAGATAATTCTTGTAGCTTTCTGTGAAAGCAAAAACACATTCTTTTCAACCTTGTAAGAGTGTAGTACATTCAGTGTTCTTGACTTAGAAAGTCTGTATAAAATTCGTGGAGGATTGCTCCATTTGTAAAGAGGTTGCTAGCACTCCCGTGAAGTTAGAGCATAGTGGAAAATCTCAAGTGAAGCTTGAGGAGTAGACGTAGGCCGAGTTGAAGCCGAACCATTATAAATTTATTTGCCTCTCTCTTCCTTATCTCTTTATTTTATTTAAATTGCTGTAGCTATATTTCACATTTTCAGTGTGCTAAAATTTTTAACTGACATAGTTGTTAGAACACTTGTTTTTAATTATTTTTATTTCATTAACTATATTTATCTATTGTGCTAGTCATAATTTTTAATTGTAAAAACCTAATTCACCCCCCTCGTAGGTTGTCTTTTGGGTAACAATAATAATAATGCCCAAAACTTTATACCACGTGGTTACAATCACTACAACATATAACAGTTTTA